AGTTATTCATGTTCATCACCTAAGAAATTAACGGCAAAAAAAATGGATCCTAGTTGTACATTAGGATTTTATTGCAGAGATAAAACTGATTTTGAAATGTTTTGTGCACAGGTAAAATCTAATCAAAAGATATTATTAGTTAATTTCATTTCGAATTATTACGAAGAAAATAATTAACTAATAACTATTCAAATTTATTCTTTGATAAACATTTTATAGAATTCATGACATGCCGATAATCAAGCTTGTCTTCATTAGACTTGGTATATGAAATGTTTTTTTTTTCTATTTAAATTATTTTTTCATGGGATGTTAAACATTTGAAAATGGAACAAAGAAAGCATACAAAATAGTTCATCTTATTTAACAATATCTTCACCTTGCCGTCTCGCTAGGACATGTTTAGCATTACATCAAAAAGAAATTTTCATAGAAAAAAAAAAAAAACAATTTATAATATTTGTACACCAAGTTCAATGAACATAACATAAGGAAGACTAAATTTTAATAAATATGAATTTAATAGATTTGTTTTTAAATGTCTGAATATAGTTTCATTATGTTACTGTGAAAGCTTCTCATTAGATTTTTAAGAAAAATATTTGATGAGAACAAAATTAAATCTATGATAATAAAAATTTAGAAGAATTTTCATTTGAATAAATCAAATATATTCTATATTTAGATCATGATAGATATTACAACAAAACAGCCATCAAAACTTGTCATGATACATTAAGATGATGAGCTTTTTCTTTCTTTTATTCATTAGAAAAACAACAAAAAGAAAAAACATATTGACGTAGACATTATAATCATTGTATGTCATCCCGTAATTCCATTGAGATTTCTCTGACAATGTTCTCATAATAAAATCAATATTCAAACGAGTTTTTCTTTTTTGTTATGAATTGCAATCGAATAGTTATAGAATGAATATTAAAACGAAAACAAAAAAAAGAAATGATAAACAATTGTTCATATTAAATAATGTATATAGATTTTGTTTAATAGTATTTTGTTTTTAGTGGAATCATATATGTCATATAGCAACTGATGATCGACGTACATGTTCAATATTTCGTATTGAACGTGGAACATTTGAAGAAAGTCATACACGTATTTTTAATTTTGATTATCCATCATTAAATGATGAAGAAAATATAATTCTTCGTGTAACTAAATTACCATTATCAGACAGTAGTTCGTTATTATCAACAACTAATAAACAATCAAATAAAAATCTTAGTTCGTCAACAATACAATATTGTGATACATTTAACGATGTTGATCAACTATTGAATGAAACAAAAACAAAAACAAATCGTTCTAGAAAACATTCTCTATCTGATGATTATGTATTTTTATGATCTATTTCAAGATCTTGTCTTATCTCTTTTTCTTTTTGTCGATAATGCTAGTCAACATTGTTTTGTTTTTTTCTGTGCAAATAATTTTTTTTTTTTCAAGATTGAAAACCTTGTATCTATTAATCATTTAATATATATATATGTATATTTATGTTTTTCCTTTTGTTGGTGAGTTGATGCTGTGTGATATAGATATATATGCATTAATTTGTCCGATTTCTATTTATAAAAGAATAAATATTGATGTTATTTATTTATTTATTGTTTCATTTTAGATGATTTCAACATTGATTATTGTCTTGCAAGTATTCCTTTTTTTAATTAATTAATTGAACGGTTTTTTTCTATTAATTAAATTCTTTTTTTCCTTATTGTATTATTTAGTACTTTGTTAGTTAATGCTGGAGCAGTAATCAATATTAATTTGTTAGTAGAATAAAAAAATTTATATTTATAAATTATTGATTGATCTTTTATTTTATAGGAAACGAAAAGAGATTGGCTTTATTGCTGATAATCCATCGATTGGTAATATATACATATATATATATAGAAGATTTCAAATTAGTTCTTTTATTTTGATGAAAATGATATTGTTCATATGAAGGGGAAAAAAACATAGCGCGTGATGCCAAAGTGTCATGACATAATTGTCAATTTCTAGGTTTCTCTTCAATGAAAAAGTACTGAAAGAAAATCTTTTTCTATTAGCAGATACGGAAATTTTTCTTCTTTAAAACCGTATATAATTTATTTTAATGACACAGCTATAAATGAATTGACATAATGGAAAAGACAAGCACTCTTAATGTGAATCTTCACTTTTCATATCTTATGTCACAGGTTTGTTCACAGTACCGCTGGTATATTCCGGTACTCATGAGTACTGGTGGGAGCGCTTATGACTCTCAGTATCAGCTGTAAACGATTGCCGGGAGTGTTTTCTACGTGAGTTTGAATTATTTATTAGAAAAAGTTCAAAGTAATTGAAAAGAAAACAGTTTTAGAATATATTTTAACAATAATAATTCATCTAATCGCTCGGGCCCAATTTTAGCTCTGTGGTTAGTATAAGTCGACTCAGGTGTATTAACACTAATGCAAAATATCGAGAACAGCTTAAATTCTGTCGGTCTTAATAGACTTTAAAAATATTCATCCATTTTGATACAACTCCTTCAAAAAAAAACTGACAGTCGTTTCTCGGTAATGGTCACATGGAATAGTTCAATATAATAAGATACACTATCAATATCTATCTCTCTTTAGTACATACATATTGGAATAATAATTATTTCTTTTATTAGTTAATAGAAAACTTTTCTCTCTTCCGAATTATATATGACTTGATTTGATTGTACGTTTAGGTATGTTTTACGGTCGTTAGAATTGCGGAGGAGGAGGGCGTCAATGACTCAGCAGATTGATTGAAAGATTTTTACTAAAATTGACCGGATTTGAAGAGGGAGCCAAGCCAGCTTTTGAGAATTAGTGAGCAAAACACTAAATAAAAAGCTGAAGCTTTGATAAGGAAGATCAAACATTTCTCAAGATTGGGAGACAACGCTAGCTCGAGACACTTCTATATACATTCATAAATAAAATGTAACGAGAAACACTTATTCAACGAATCTGTATTTTTTTTTCTGTATTGATTCATCAAATAAATCCTCCAAAACGAAATTTAATTATTTTTTATAACGAAACATTTCAAGAAGAATGATTTATACCATATACTGAATAAGTATTTGAAATATGGACAAAACAAAACTTTTGCCAAAACATTAATCATCCAGTAAAAATCTTCAATTAAAAACTTAAAGCAATTGGTACAATTCATTCATATTTGTTATCTGATGAATCAATGTAACCTAGCCAAGCGTTTCAACCTTAACTAATCATTTATAAGTCATAACTAATGAAAAACAAAAAAAACAACTGTTATTTTATAAGACAACGTCGAAACGCTTCAAAAATGGATGATAAAGCTCAAGCAGAAAGAGCTAGAAAAGAAAAGTTATGCAAGGTTATATAAAACAATTTCTTGTGATCCCAATGTTATTTTAGATGATGAAAAATGTCTTACATTAAGTGAGAATTATACTGCAATAAATCAATCTTATTACTCTACTGGTCTATATAATTATGCAATATCCTTCAATATATGAGATGTTAGTTTAACATCACATTCCAGTTGATTTACAATATTTATTTATGATTCGTTCAGTGAGTGTTTCTCTTTCTTCGCATTTTATATTATTTATGAATCTATAACGAAATCAAATCATATACAATTCTCAAAAAGACTAAAATTTCCTATTGATTAGTAATAAAAAAAAACAATTATTCTTTCGATATGTGTTTATTTAAGAGAAATAAGCATCGATATTTTGTTCTGTTCATTTATATAATGTGAGAAATGTGGGCTCGTTTAGAGTGCACTTCTTTCTTTTCTGTTTTGTCATTTCATTTGTAAATGCATGACAGAAATTATTTATAGACAAATCGAAATAGAAGAAAATTCTATCTTCTTTAAAAAAGAAAAATGACAAGTTGTCTTTCAGTATCCTTCAATTGACTACAACTAAGAGTCGACATTTTTGATATTACCTTTGGTATCACACGTTTATTTTTCAAAAAGTAATTTCAAACTGTCATATTCAAGAATAATTTTAAGAAAATGAAATATTCTCTATGAATAGAGTAGGATCAAAAAATAAACTATAAGAAAAAGAAAAATATTCATTTTAGGAGACAAAATACGTGAATTTCTCGGTAGTCTTCAATATTTTCGAATATTCATTGGTCTTTGGAATATTTTAATTATATTTGCTATGTTTACGTAAGTAAATTTATTACTTATAAATATTTTATGACATAAACTATTATTGATTATTTTTCAAGTATATTTGGTTATTGATTTATCATGGTTATATATTCCATAGACGATTGACAGAACTATTTTATGTATTAATGTTAATATGAGTTCTTTTTTTCTCTTTGTTTGAAATAAAATGATTTTTTTTCTTTGTTTATTTCTTTGTTTACTTTTTCATGACCGTTTTCTTTCATTTTGTGTTTTAGAGAATAGTAACAAATTTAATGATACGACTATGGTATTTTATTACATCAATATGATTTTGTTTTTCTTCATTCCTTTTTATTTCATGAAGTCAACGTCTTTTCACTCTTTAATTGCCTCTTGTCTCTTTCGTTAATATGTAACTTCGCTTCCCACTCAATGAGAAACTTTTCACGTATTATTAGTTCAATATATATATATATTCAAGCAATTACTGTGTTCTTTTTCGTTTGAGCACAAAAGAAAGCAAAATGGTTCCTTTTTTTTTCTTTCTTTCTTTTAATGAATGTACGTTTTGTGCATATGCTTCTCTTTCTCTTTCTTCTCACTTCTAAGCTTATGCATATAACCTCCAAACATCATCGTTACTATCGACAAAATGGATGACTGATTGTATTAGTAACTAACAAATAGAGATAATGATGATGAACATTAGTAACATATATTTTTTGATCCTATCAGCTAAACAAAAGTTTAGATCTTTTTTTTTTGTTTTTAGATTAACTATCGGATGTGTGTTGATGTCACCACAAAACTTAGAAAGACAAATGGTGACCGCACCATCATCACATTTGTCAGATGTCGAAATAAAACCGAAAAATACTCGATTTCATCATCGTCGTCCTCAAAAATTGTGCACTACTCAACGCCTTCCAGCATTCTTTGCTTGGCTTCTTTTATTAAGTACTTCATTTGCTTATTGGATATGTATTTTTCCAGAAATTCTTATTCTTCTACCAAAACTTTTGCCTATTCCAATTTTACATTGTATTTTATTTCTTCTTGTATGCGCAAATTTTCTTCTTGCAACATTTATGGATCCAGTAAATTATTTTGATTTATTTTTTAATTCAAAAAAAAAAAAAAAAACAGAAAATAAAACAAAGACATATCTTATTATTTTCTAGGGTATCTACCAACAATCGTTAAAAAATGAATATTCTAATGTTAGTTTATATACTCGTCCATCTAAACGGAAAGATGGTATTGAAGTCAATGATGATGATGATGATGATTCAGATGAACCACAATCTCGTCTTATTCGTATTAGAGATGGTAATTTTTTTTTTCTTTTGCCATAAATTTATATGTAAGAAAATTTGATTTAGGATCAGTCTATATAAAGTATTGTCGTACATGTAAATTATTTCGTCCACCACGATGCTCACATTGTTCTATTTGTGAACGATGTATCGATGTAAGTTTAATTATTTTATTGTTGTAGATATATATACTTCAATAAAAAGAGTGATATAACTTTCGAGGGAACATTGCCATATGTCAAATTGCTTTGCAACGGTAACGATGTTTATTTCATGAGTACTAGTGATTAATAGAAAAGATAACAATGGTTTAGTTATCCGTGTCCTTAGTTGTTGATATATCGAAAAAACAAACCATTCTGAGCTCTTCTATTACTCATTCGTACTCATTAAATTAACATCATCTCGGTCAAAAAACCATTTGACATCTGAAGAGATGCTCTTATGAGTTCAGTGTTGATTTATAATATATGATTAAGTGAATTAATATTCATAAGATTATATATTCAATTGTATGGAACCATTCGGCTTCATACAAGTAGATCTCCATGAGACTAATAGAGGCTTAACAACATCCAAGCCTGTGACCTATTGATGATGAGATATGGCCGTTTTATTGAATATTCTCCTGAGAGCAAGGCATATCCAAAAAAAAAACAAGTGTTTTGCCATAAAACACAGTAATCGAATCTACTTAAAAAATTGAATATTTCGAGCAAGACATATTCGTTTTCGTTGAAATAATTCAAATCTATGAAATTTGTCTATAGAAAAAAAGAAAAATCTTCAACTCGAAATTCTTTGTTTAGAAATTTTTCGGAAATGTCTTATTCTTAGAAAAAAGTTTCATTAAAACAGTCATAACTCTTCAACAATATGCTTTAGACTTGTTTTCATTAAGATTTATTCGTAAAAATTTTGTCAAAATTAAATTTTTATAAAAAAATTATTTTTTTTCAGACTTTCGATCATCATTGCCCTTGGTTAAATAATTGTGTTGGTATGTACTTTTAAAAAAAAATCAATCAAATTTATTTTTATATTTTGAAATTTTCATTTTTTTTCTTTTCAATCTAGGTCGTCGTAATTATCGTTATTTTTTTCAATTTTTATTTCTACTATGTATTCATATGATATTATTATTTGCATTTTGTCTTTATTATGTTCTTCATGATCGTCATCATAAAATACTTCCACCAAATTATCATTTACTACCATTAAATCCAAATATATCAAAAAGACAAAATGATTATTTATCATCAATACATTTAGATAAAACAATATTTGTTGGTTTTCAAGATTATCGTTTTATTATTTGTATTATTTTACTTCTTCTTCTTGGTCTTATGGCAATACCTATTGGTGGTTTAACAGGTTTTCATATATATCTTATATGTCAAGGTCGTACAACAAATGAACAAGTTACTGGAAAATATCGTATACAAAATGATGTTTTTAATAGAGGTTGTTGGAAAAATTGTTCTTATGCATTATGTCAACCATTATATCCACAATTAAAAGCACCCAAAATCAAACGTTATAATGTTGATTTATTTGAAGAAATGGCATATGGAAAAATAAATTATAAATTAACAAAAAATGAATATGATGAAAAAAGAAAAATTAATTATGAAGAAACAAACAAATCAAATATGAAAACAAATATTTATAGTAATCCAATTGATGAAAAAGGTTACAAAGTTTGTTTTTTTTTTCAATACTTTTAGTGTGAAAGTAATTGTTGGATAGGAGTTATAATTTTCAACCATTGAAAATATATTGATTCATATTTGTTTCGATATATAACAATTGATTGATTAGTTTTTTTCAGATGTCATAATGACTTACAAAAGTGTCTATTTGACAGGAAATATCAAATGCTAACCCCCTTTGGCAACGGATATTTTTGTCTTTTTCAACAAAGCAAAAAACTTGAAACGGAGCGTATATGTTAAGAAAAACAGCAGATTTCATGAAGAATCATCAAATTTCATAAGATTGTTCGATTATATAGTCAAGTAGAATAGTGCTGAATCTTATGACTAAGTAGTTCTATGAAGAACATTGGAATTTGATATCATAATATAAATCTCATAAAACCTAACATCGAATGATCTGTAAGATTAAAACTTTAGTCAAATTTACAATACTATTGAATAATAATAACTACGGGGTTTTATAGGATATTGTTTGATTTCATATTGTTCTAAAAGCTTTTAAGCATCGAAATTTCATCGATACTTGAGTACTTTTAGATAGGGAAATTCGCTTGTTTCCCTTTGATATATATATATATGCATAATGATATCACACGATGACGCTGTTTGATACTGATTATATTTAGGAAGAAGAGAATATTGTTATGACCTAATAAAGACAAATGATTGTACATCCTAGAATTAGCGCAAAATCTCAAGACGTATATATATATATGCGTCTACATCATTTAAAGAATGTTATGAAATTATTTCAATAATTTTTAATTATTACGAAATGAATTCGTATTAATTAATGACATGACTGAGAGAAAAATAAATTTGACTTTTTTTTATTGAATATATACTTTTGTCTTCAACATTATGTAAGAAAACTTTTCAAATAGATTTCTCAAAAAAAGAAGAATAAATTCAAATACAGAATAAGTTTCTTGAACATTGCCACTAGCATATATTGAACAGTTACTGTTTTTCTTATCTAATTGCTGAAAACAACTAAATACAAATGTATCATTGCTTCTGTTGTTAAGTTATTTTACAAATAATGAACTAAATTTCATTATGAAACAAATAATCATTATAGAATTTTATTTTCTAGCTCGTCAATACAATAACTCAATTCATATTGCTCAACAACAAGTAAATAAATATAAATATATATATATATTAATGTGGTAGAAAAAAAGTTTAACAACAACATGTTCTTTTTCCTATAATGTTAAGCAATTAATTCAAATTCAGATAATCATTTTAATAGTCAATATGTGAAGATCTTAATCCCCCCACTTCTAGTTTGTTTGTATAACTGTATCAAAGGATGAACGGAATAATCTCTCTCCGTAACAACATAACATTGTATATGTACAAGTGATAGAAGGAATTGAAAATTTCCAATAAACTATGAACAAGGTAAATCCATAGAACAACATGAAAGATAAAGTGACAGAAAGAAATGGAAAATTCCAACATACATGACTAATAAGAAGAAGAACATAAATAAATAGGGAAAATTCTTATGACCACATCTGAAGTAGATGTAGGGTCATAATACAATGGAATTTTCTTTTACCAAAATTTCATAGATGAACTATCTGAATTAGACCAAATTGCTTAATATTATAGAAAGATAAATAAAATAAAAAAAAAGAATGTTGTTATTAAACTTTTTCTCATCATCTTATGTTCCTAAATATCTTTCAACTCGTTTATTTTTTCTATCTTTTTATTTAAAGCCAGTATCAACTTCAACATCTGCTTCAGTGACATCTTCATTTCCATTTCAACCAGTTAAAAAAAATCCTTCACATCAAACAACAAAACCCGGATTTGAATCTATACGTCGTAGTTTATCAAATATGTCTTTATCATCACGTTGTTCATATGATAATATTGAAGAAGATGAAGATGAAGATGATATTCATCAACCATTACCTTATCAAACAAGTAATAATAATAATAATAATAATAATAATAATAATAGTTCAAAACAAATGAAAAAAATGTATATTAATCAAAATTCAATTCAATCGGATAATGTATCAACAAATAGTGCAATGACATTACGTACAGATTCATATCGACAAGCTCATCCTTTACATTCATTTGCTTTTGATTATCCAAAACGACCATTATTACCTCAATCGAAACAAAATAATGAACAACAAAATCGACGAAAAATAAATGGAAATAAACATTATGAAATATCTGTTTAAAAAAAAAAAAAACAAAAATAAATTCTATTCTGTGATTATCATAGATATTTATTTTATATTGTCTGTTTGTTTATTAATAGAATTTTTCTTTAGGAAAAAAAAATATATGTATCTGTATGTGAGAAATAAAATATTAGGATTTTCGCCTTTCTTTTCTTTTCTTTTTTTTTTTTGTTATTGATGTTGTTGATATTAATTTCTTTCAGGAGAACAAGACAGAACTGGTGTATGTGTGCATGTATTGTTAATATTTTTTGTTTGTTTGATACTTTGTATTATAGAAAAGAAAAAACAACGCTTTTCATTGTTGTTCTTTTCTTACTTTTTTTCTCTTTAAAAAAGAGACAAAAACATCTTCATTTATATTTATTTATTATACTTTTAATTTTTCTCTGACAATATTTTCATTCCATACATCTGTCATTACATAATTTACATTCACATTGTGTCACAATCCGATATTGGATTGTTCGTGGTTTTTTATTTTCACACATTATTTGAATTTCATGTGGTTTGGTATTTTTTGGTGAACAACAATGAAGATGATGTTTATGTCGATAATGTGTTGGTGCATATTGCCAATCATAAACGAGATAATCTTCTGAATAACATTGACCACGACAACGAGTTGTTTCAATTGATAATGGAGTATTTAAACAATTTTGTAGATTTATAGTTTCTGTGTAAGATTCTACTTGACAATTATGTATTGTTGGAGTTTTGGATATAATTAATGGAGGTGTGTGAACAAGAAGAAATAAAAAGATAAGAATTCCAGACATTATAACTAATGAATGAAAATAGGTGAAAGAGTGTTAAGAAAAAAAAAAGTTAGAAATATTTTTCTTTTCTCAATTATTATCCTCAAGTGAAACTCATTGTTTGTTTTTATACACGGATATTAATCCACTTTCTGTCACACATAATCATCATTTTTATGAAACAAAATCTTTTAAGCATATCCATCATCCTGGTTTTTTTTTTTTTTCTATTTTATTTCATAGCCAATGAAAACAACAACAAGAAGAATAATGAAGAACAAATATAGTAGAGTAATAGTAATAGTAGTACACAGAAAGAAGAAGAGAAAGATAGAAAGAAATAGTTGTATACAAAAAAAAATAGAGCCAAGCGCAAGGTTTTTTTTTTGTTTTCATACATCTTTTCTTTTTTCACATACAAAACAAGAATGTCATTCTACAACAATATAACAAGTAGTACACAGAAAAAAAAAGAAATTTCTGAACTCGACAGCAAAAAAAAAAGAAGAAAAAGAAGGATATAAGGGACGGTCAGAGATCTTTTATTTTTTTTATTAATTGTTATTTTATTCTTCATCTTCATCGTCTTCATCATCATCATCGTCATCATCATTATCTTCATCAGATGATTTTGCTTTAGCCGAAGATTTTTTTGCCGGTGATTTCTTAGCTGGTGCTGCTTTGCTTGTTGATGCTTTTGATGAACCTTTACTACCTTTAGCTGCTGAACTAACATCGCCACCACCACCACCACCATTCTTTTTATATTCAGCAAGACGTACTTCATATTTTTGTTTTTCAACAGCAGCCTTTTGTTCATAACGTTTTTTTACATCATCGCTAAATAACAAAAAAGTTATTTTTCATAAAAATAATATTACTTTTTTTTTTTTTTTTCTTTTTTATTTTATCTTACCTAACTTTTTTCCATCTTAAACCAATTTCTTTCGAAATATCACCAACTGATAGAGATGGACTTTTTTTCTTTATATCAGGTCGTTCATCTTGTGAAAAAAGAAAAAATGCAGATAATGGTCGTTTTGGTGCATTTGGATCTTTGTTTCCTCTTTTCGATGCTCCAGAAGCACGAGGCATATTATTTCTTTTTTTTGTTAATAAGATAATTGAACAAAAAATATACGAATCTAAAAATAAGAAGATATATATATATATATATTCAAATTTCAAATTGAAAAAAAAAATATCATCAACAAACTAAAGAATTGAATATAAACTATCGAATAAATACGATCGTTGCTCTCTGTCTCCCTCCTTTCCCCTCTCTCTCTCTCTCTCCTTCACTTCTCTAGATAAAGACTGCCAAATGAATCAATGAACAACGAGTTAGACAAAGAGAGAAATGTGACCCAGTCAGTCAGTAGTGTGTCGTTTCTCTTTGCTGCCTAGCTAAAAGGAAGAATCGACAGCGAAAGAAAACGCACGCATATAACGTGTATATATGTGTGTGTATGTGTATGTCTCTGCTTTCTCGTCTCGCTTCTTTTTTCAAACATGAAGCGCACACGCTATAGCGGTCGTGCATGTGTGCAAGGAGCTTTGCTTTACTTTATATGTGTGTATGTGTGTGTGTGTATGTTCGTCTCCGTCTGCTGTGTATGTGATGGCGAATGGTGATTGCAGCAGCAGCAAAATGTGTAGAGAAAACGCGCGCGCTCGCAAGCAACAGTGCAACAAGCACAACAGAGGCCCTTTATGATGCGCTTCATACAATAGTGTGTGTAAGAAAGAAAAAAAATAAGGGGGCGATGGTTGGTAAAGAGAAGAACAATTATTAAGAAACGACGACAGCGAAATTGCTTGCTTGCTTGCTTGCTTGCTTGCTTGCTTGCTTGCTTGCTTGCTTGCTTGCTTGCTTGCTTGCTTGCTTGCTTGCTTGCTTGCTTTCTTGCTTGTGCACACATACACACACATATATTCTATACGAAAATGTAATGGCAAAAGCAATGCGTTTTGTTTTTTGGGTTGATATAAAAATAAAAACAGGCGAAATAGGGTGGAAATTAATTTTTATATGTAATGAAGAAATATATTAAATAGAAATGAAATGTCTTGGTTTTCTTTTACATCAATTAGTTCATTTTGAAAAAACAAAGATAAAATTCAAACGAATTATTATATTGGAACAAAAAAAAAAATCAAAAACAAAATATATAATAATAATAACTAAAACAAAAAGAAAAAGAAAAGAAACAGCTATTTTTAATTATGAATGATAAAAGCAATGAAGAACATTATGTCAAAGCAAATATTTTTTTTAATTAGTCAATGTAAAAAGAGATTTTTTGTAAGAAGAGATCTTCATCTATATTTATTTTAGACATTTTTTAATTAAAAATGTCAACAAAAAATTAACCGAAAATTATTCTTGTTACTAATGCTGATGAACATATTGGTAAATGTTTTGCTCAACCTGCTAATAAACAAAAATATCAACTTCGTTTGATATTTATGTATTCTTCTTTTTTTTTTTTTGGTATTAAGGTGCATTCAAGTAAATTCGAAAAAGTCGATCCACTAGAATCATTTGATGAAAAAGTTCAAGGCGATTTAAATGAAATGGAAACATTAGATAAAGCTTGTAAAGATGTTCATGCTATGGTCCATTTAGCTGTAGATCCAGATCCAAGTTCAACATAGGATTCATTAAAAAAAGGTTAATATCGATCGGTAAAAAAAAAACATTTCGAAAATATTTTATTTAATTTTCCTATTTTGTTTAGCTTATATTATATATACTTTGTAGCAAAAAAAAAAGCTGGTGTTAAACGGATGGTTTATGCTAGTACAATTCATGCTGTAACAGGTTATCTAAAAGATGTACAAGCAAAAACAAATGAACCATCAAATCCAGTAGAATTTTATGGTATTTAACAAGTGAAATGGCATCTTTTTATTATTTTTATTTTAAACAGGTGTTACAAAATGTTTTGGTGAAGCATTTTGTCGTTATATGAGTGAAAAAGAAGGTGTGCCGTCAATAGCTGTTTATGTTGGAGCATTTCAACCACATTCAACTGCACAAAATAAAGATTCAATAAGTATGCTCGACGCGTGGTTATCTGAAAGAGATTGTATACAATTACTTGAATATTGTATTGATGCACCGAAAGATTTAAAATTTGGAATTGTACATGGTTTATCACGTAATATATTTAATCGTATGGATATTGAATCAACACGACAATTATTAAGTTATGAACTTCAAGATAATTTTTTTTGAAGAATTAGAATTATTTAAAAATTTTAACATGTCTCATGAATTAGCTGAACATTATATTACGTATGTAGAAACTAAGAAAAACTTTTTATTTTTTATATTTGTTTTGGTTTTTTTTTCAGAGATGATAGACAAAAGTCGGGTTTACGAGATAAATCAGCAGATGACAAGGGAAAAGATAAGAAGAAATAGATAATTGATGGAGTAAGAAAAGTATTTCCATGCGTCTGATATTGTTATTGTATAAGAATTGTAGACTTTCTCTAATCAAGCTCAATATGAAGAATTAATTTATGCAAGCAATTTATTTTTTTTTTGTTTTGTATCAATTTGTTTTTTTTTTTATTGTTATATAAATATATTTAAGTGTCGAATTTTTTGTTTTTATTTTTTGATAAAAAAAACTCACGAAAATTTTATATTTTTGTTAAAAAGTTTTATATGAATCTTTGAATTAATTATTCTTGTTCAGTCAAATGTTACCAATAAACGAACATTCTTTAAATGTTATTTAAAAGAAAAAGAAATTTATTCGATTGAAATATTATAATGAAGTTATTAATAATCATTTCGATAAAAAGCATCGATTCTAATTTTATTTAATAAATTAAAATTAAAAAAAAAAATGATGAAAAAAATTCATCAATATTAAATTGTTCATTGAATGAAAATATTCATTCAAATTCAAAATCATACAATTATATATGAATTTCATTTCTACTATAGACGATTTTTTCAACATTGACAATGAGAAATTATTTTCTGATTATTTATTCTATTACAGTGTAAATGTAGATGTTAATCATAATAGACATTTTCTTCTAAATAAACGAGTACGTTCATTCTTTCTTTACATGAACACTCTTGTAAAATGAAGATTCCGACTATTGTAATACTTCAAAGTTGTTTCTATTGAGAAAACTGATATAGCAAAGATGAATATGATGTAATCAAAGACATTCTAGGTAAATTCTTCTTCAATATGAAATATAAAACCATACGAAATATTTAATTGACTTTTGAGATTCAGAAATATTGTTCAAAAAGAAAAAATATAACACAAATATTAAATAATTTTGTTTTATTCATCTTGAAATTATTTTTCAAATTTTGTGAAAAGTTAACGAAAGGAGCAAAAAACGAAACAGCTGTAATCAGACTTATTTGATTTTTTGTCGGCTTTAACATCTTCTCTATAAACGTACGAGTCATATTTTTCTTGTTAGCAATCAAGTTTTATCTAGAGATTTAAATTTATAAAAACGTAATTAAAACCAAGTCACAAAACGTTTAAAACCAGATCTTTTTGAATAAGAGATTTTTTTTTTTTTTTGATTTAATATTGATAAAAAATCAAAGAAAACCAGCTATTTTTCCTTTGCTAAGAAGTGATATTAGAATTTTTAGACAATAGAGGTTTGAACTCTAAGAATGAATCAATAAATTTATTTAGATTAAAATGATATCTGATAATTTTATTTATATCTTTTGATGTGACTAAATGAATTGCACAATTGTTTGTTCATGGATACTTGAGGTAGTATTATCAATAATGAGTGTTTCAATTGATAAATTCAAAAGGCTTCAATGGATTGATGTGATATATTTGATGTTTATCACTTTGCTACATAGAAAATATAATATCTCAGACTTCATCGTATTGAGAATCTCGTGTATCTTTTGGTCATTTCATATTTATTTGACTAAAGACATAAAATTGAATTAACTTGTAAGAACTGAAGAGACGATCTTTTGACAATAAGAGAGAGTTGATCACAAAAAATGATGATTCTGGATCCTCAGCATGCTCATAATATATGAGAAAAAAAAGTTCTGAGCAATTTTCTATTCGATATATGTTTGTAGTCATTTAAGTGTAATTTTAACAAATAAATAGTCATTTTAAAAGAATATTTATTGTGGAGAAAGATGGTTCTGAGTTAGAAAATAAGACATTTATAAATGTGAGAATATCATTAAACGTTTTTCTATATATACAAAAATACAAATGAAAAAAATTAAAACGAAAAGACTGAACACTACTGAATTCTATGTGACGAACTTGTTAAGAGAAGTGTCCATGAAATAGTGATATTCACTTTATTTGGCTTTTTCACAAAACAAATCACTCCGTTCAAATGCACAAATATACAAGACCACAAAAATTTGTTTCAACTTCTGATTATTCAATATAAATGAATTGTTTTCTAGAGAAACAAAAATCACACGGAACAAAGTTTCTTTACTGGCTCTCTTATTTCTTCAATTAGAACTTTTAATTTTACACAATGAGCACACTTTTAAGTGCACTCTAACACAACTATTTATTTATTGATATTGCTCACGTAATTCTTCAAAAATATATCGATAAGAAAGGTTCTGAGAAATTTGTTTCCATACCTTACTATAGTTGAAAACAATGAATCTTTTTTTTTTTCGTATAGAAGGGTACAGAATGCCCGTTGAGAGGAACATTCAATCTTAACGACATGAATTCTCTACTTTTAATTTATGGAAAAAAAAAGTATTCTCTTAAGAATAATCATATTTATTTATTTATTTTATTATCACACAAAGAACTGCTTGAAGCAATATTTTGCACTTATTCAATGTTTACACACTTTCTGTTTCAATATAATGCTTGCTAGTGAGCTCATCCAAGTGCCACACAGTCAATATTAACGAAGAGAAAAACGATCATTTTATGATTGCGATAGCGGTCTTGCTTCATGGGCAAAGTAGTTATCGAATGCTGTACGAGAGTAGAATCAGAAGTTATTACGAAAGATTCAGGATTGGAGCGAATTAGATGTCTTTATCGCAATCACACAAAAAGTTTAAGGATTATCGAAGCTTTTCGACGATTGGAAGGGGATGGAGTAGTACTATCTTGATTTCTCCCTTGCAACAGCATCCTTAGCAGGATTAACAATCACTCGCGTAATACTTCAACAAGTCTTAGGTGACGTAGATATTCTTAGAATATTTTAGACCGATACGGCTCAATGCTCCTTTCAAAGAATAATTTCTTTACAATGTCATAATTCACCAGTATGTTGATTAAAAATTTAGAAGTGTTGAAAAATTTGCTGTACATTCTGACAGTCAGTTCTGAATAATTTCTTTTCCCCTCTGTGGTCTATCACACTAGCAGAGTCTAGAAAAATATTGTTTTTTTTGTATAAATGAATTTATTATGTTTTTTTATAGCAGTTATTTTAATATTCGTTGCAAGGCACATTCAGTTTTTAAGAGTTAAGCATTATCTCAAACACAATATATACATTTAACTGAAATATGAGCTATTACAGAAGAATATTTATCTGCATGATTTCGCTTTAACACCTAGGTTTCTTAATTCCTGGTATTTGCCGTATCTGTCATAATATTTCTTTTGCATTACTCGAACAGCATATTCATATACATAAAAGTTTCAACGAAATTTACATGTGCGTTTTTATCTTTATCATTCGCAAAAAAGAAATTAAATAAAATGCAAAAAATAGTAACAAATGTAACAACGATATCATATGTATTATGTTAAAGCATATATAAAAATGACTGTAAATGTTAGTGTTAATATGAGTTCGTATATCAAAAGAATATAATTTTTTTCTTAGTATTGAAATATGTAATGCATTTTAATTAAAATTATTCATGGCTATTATTAGCATAATTGTTTTTTTTTTGAATAGATGTAGAAACTTCGTCAAAAAAAAAATGATTATTCTTTTGTTCATCTTCTTATTTCTATAATTAAATTTTTCTTCTTAGAATTATATAATATTTAAAATTGTAATGCCCATTGAATTAATAACGTTACGAACAATTTGAAATAATTTTCCACTAAATAACACTTTTAACAACAGCTTTGAATTCGCTCAAATATATTCAAGAAGATGTAAACGTCTGATTGCTTTTTCATATGTATTGGTTCTGTTGAATAATTAGAGAAAAAAGAAATTTTTTTTTTTATAATTTTGATTATAATTTTTTTTGCTAATTATGGAGATGTATATCTCTTAGAATAATGTCACACGAATCATTATCAAATCACATGATCTTAGAATAGAAAAAAAAAATACGCATAAAAAACAACCCGTGATCTACCAAAATAAAACGGAAGTAAAAAAAAGAAAAAAAACTGGTCCCTATGAGGATCGAACTCATGACCTCCGCGTTATTAGCACGGCGCTCTAACCGGCTGAGCTAAGGGACCGCATTTATTTCCATTTTCAAAATGAATATCTAGATGTACAATTGACACATTCGATTCCAATAAAATATCTATATAAATATCCATAATCTATGAAAAAATCAGATGATAGAATATTACTTGCAATGCTGACTTTTATTTATCGAGTTATTTTTAGAAAGACAACTAATAGAAAAAAAATCCCTCATGTGACTCAAAATAATATGCATGATAAGGTTAAAGGGCATACATAAATGGCAAATAAACATTATTAATAATCGTTATTTTTTCTCTTAAATGTATGTAAATTGAGAAAGATTGATCATCTATTTTTCGCGAAGCATACAAAATTACCAACATTTTATGTTTCTATTTTATTATTAGTAAATGACCAGGAGATTGACATTAAGATAATATAATGATTCTTTCATTTACTTGTATTTTGATATCTTTCTTTTGTCTTTTGGACAATTTTTTCTCTTATCTCTATATGCCAAAAATAGCTTTTGCTTTTTCATGTCTATAATAACATATACAAGGAAGATTTTTATTAATTAAACATGAAGTAATCTTATATCGTACATATGTGTATATATCTACAAGTTTTGATCAAAAAAGAAAAAAACAACACATCTGACACTCGAAAAAAAAAATAAAAATAAAATCTTTACGACAAAATCAAATACGTTGTTTTTTTTTGTTTCTATCAAAAGTGTTTTAGAAAAATTATGAATTCCATGAAATTCCTTCTTTTTTAAGAATGTATTTGACAGCATCTAATACGTCAAGTTGAGTTGTTGTAGGTATTTTCCAATGTTGTTTTTCTTCAGCTGTTTGTTTATTTGGATCATAAACACCTGTACATACTAAAATTGAGTCACAAGATGTTGCAGTTAAATGTTTTGGATCCGTAAGTATATCATAACCACTGATACTTGTTTTAGCATTTATATCTTGTTGTAATAAACAATTGTACATATTTGCACCGACAATATCTACATCAGGATTATCACTAAAATATAAGAATTAAGATTAAAAAAAAATAAATTCTAATTAAAAGAAAAAACTTTACCCAATAAAATAAATTTTATCAATTTTTGGTTGTCCATTAGCAAAAGCATATTTATTAGCCATGATTTCAGCATATTGAAATGAGATTTCAAATGGTTTACCAACAAATGCTTTGTATACGAGTTCACAACCACTAAGATTCTATTTAAAAAAAAAACAGAAATAGAATTTTCATAAATTTATTTATTATTATTATTTTACTTACTTTATGTAATGCTTCTAAACATGTAAGAAAAGCTCCATGACCAAAACGTGGTAAATCAGCAGCAGCCTTGAAGACTAAATCTCGATTACATGCAATAACTGGTATATGAGCACGATCAACTGTTGTATCAACAGGTACAACACCTGGATTGCCATCAGTTAAAAGAAGATCAGTAATGACTTGTAATGAACTTTCCCAACTGATAGGTTCACCAAGCAAAACAATAGCTATATTAGACAAAAAACAAATAACTAATTAAAATATAAACATAATTATTAAAGAATATTTACCATCAATTGGACGAAAATTTGTGTCACGAACAAGACTTTGTGTTTCTATCATTGCACTCTAAAAGATAACAACAATGAAGAACATCAAATAACAAAAAAAAATGTTATTTATTTAGACTTACAAATTTAGCACGATGCATATGATTAACCATGTCTAATTCCGGAAATGCTTCACAAACTTTTTCAACTGTTGTTATACTTTTAAAGCCAAGCCTTTAGAAGAAAAAAATATTGGTAAAAAATTATAAAAATAATAGTTTACATACAATCGACCAATCTCTTCTGTAGGGCCTTGTCCAGATATCAACACATGTTTGTCATGATATTGAGTTAAAGTACGCATTGGTGTTTGAGCCAAAACAACTTGTTCTGGATGGATCTATATTTCAAATCAATATTTTAAAACTAAATTATACAACGATAAATTAAACCTACAGTAATTCCAAGCATGGCTGATAATTGTTTAGCTTTCTCAGTTTCCAGGGCACATGTATTTGAAAGAAAAATGATAGGTACATTGAGTTGAATCAATTTGTGAATAGCTGGTTTTGCAACCGATATAAAGTTTGGGCCTTTTGTAATGACTCCATCAATATCGAAAAGACAGGCGAAATTATGCTATTCATAAATATAAAAGATAACGAATAATTATTTTCTATATCAATGATATAAGTTACCGTTTTCATTGGAGATTCTTTGGCTTTACGATTGATTTTATATAACTTAGTTGTTGTTTGAGATTCCGGTTCTTATATTTTTTATAATCAAACAAAAATAGTTCTCACGATTTATATAGTATTTTGACGGTTGTGATAAGGAGAGGTGTGCGTGTGATTTGAAAAAGAGAAGGCGTGTGAGCCACACAATGTGCTGCAAAATAAAATTTTTTCGTTGATGCCCAGGTGGCTGATCACTTCGTGCTTATAGCCTGTCAACTAATGTATGCAGTCATCGACAGAGCCATACTCTGACTGCCTGACTTCATTATGAAATCGTTACATCTTGCTTTGCATTCATCATATGATGTTGTGGAGTTCTGCGTGACAACATGAGGGTAAAGGTTCAAGCCTGTGTTGCTTCATTCTCGTTCTCTTGTAAGGATATAAACAACGAGAGAACGTGTGCGTGATTCTCTTCTTTGATCATACGTTGTGCATGTGGAGACAGCGTTCTGACTGTGTTTCTATTTTCAGCGTTGCAGCAAAACAGAAGATGGAGAATTATGTGTAACCATACATTCAGTGAATGATCTATTGGTTTTTGTCAATAGAGTAAAAAAAAATGTAATGTACGAAAGACTATTTTATTGTCTAGCAGTAAATAAAAACGTAAAGGAGCAAATATAACTGATAATGTTTTTTTTCTTTTGAGTACGATACTCTTTTTCTTTTAAGTACGATACTTTTTTGTTTCTTTTAAGTACGATACTTTTCTTTTTATTTCTCTTTTACTTGGTAAATATTTATTCAAGGAAACATAACATTTTCAAACTTTGACCTGAAAAATACATTTACATTAATTTTGGTCAAATGTCTATGTTTGAAGAAATTTAATCAACTATTAAAACCAAGATTTGTCTACAGCATAATTAATTATTTAGCCATGTGAATTGTTGCATTCAAATTGAAATTTCATGATTGTGCAAAAGTTCATCACAACCTTGCTCTCAATGAATAATATTCTCATAAAATATATGTACTAAATGAAAGAAAATATTAATTTCTATGATTTATTTTAACACTGAATTAGAGAAAACAATGGCTTTGGATTTTGATTAATAGTCTTCTGTCGATAAATGTCAGTAAAATCATTGAGAGCATTATGTGTTAATACACTATATGTTTCACCAAAAAAATTAAATAAGCAAGGACAATGACCTTGATAGCCTAAAGAATTAATAATTCAATATATTTGTTCATTATTATAAATAATAATAATAATAATAATAATACCACTAATAAATCGTTTCTCAGAATTATTATTATACATTTTATATACACTTTGATTCCAATCTTTCTTGTTCTGTCGAATGAAGTCAGTATGTTTACTTATTGGTTTCAAAGGTATTTGTTCACGTGTATAGTGTAACTAGGAAGAACAAATGCACTGAGAAAAAGAATTAGCATAAAATTTTATTTATTACCATAGAATTTTTTGGTAAATTTTGTTTAGTTATAGAATTATTTTCTAAAAGTTTCTGTAATTTAAAATCAAATTTATAATATTTTTTTTGTGTTTGATCATCTTCAAAATCATTAATAGATTTTAAAAATAAATTCTTCATAGTTTTGCCAAATTTTTCTTGTATTGTTGGTATATGTCCAGTATATCCAGAAGTAATAATATCAGATATATAGATTTGATCAGTAATTGATGAATTTGTACGTATATCAAATATTTGATTATCAAATGAATCTATTTTTGGTGAAAATAAAGTATCTGGACGTGTATGAATATACGAATCATGAAATATACGACGACTCATTTCACTACGAGTTAAACCAAACATTTGAGATTCTTGTGGAATTTTACCAGTATAACCAGGTAAATGATAGTAATCTTTACAAATTCTTTTCTTCATACAAGATTGTTTTAAATTTTGATTATTATGATATGTTTGATTAAGTATTAAATCGCAACAATTATCTGTATTTTTATTAGATAATGTAGAATAATTAAAATTATTATTAGAAGATCTTGAATTTTGTTTATAACATGTTATAGACATCAAAGAATTGTTGTAAGTAAACGAAATCGAAGATATTGACACTTTATATTGTTGATATATAACTTTCGCGCTGTTATCATTAAAAAAAAGTAATACTTATTTTATTGTACGTTTTTTTTTCTGTGTTATTGAAGAAGTAAACATCTAGTCAACTTACGAGCATCCTTTGTTGAATTGATACTTCGCTAAATGAATTAAAATTCATGATAATGAGCAACATATAGATGTAGAAATTATGGAAATCTATTGACGAATCAATTGTTTCATGTTGAATGATATTTATAAAAATAATATCAGGCATGTTATTTTATAATTATCTTTTGAGTTGTCTCAGGACGATGATTACAGTTGATGATACAGCTAATATAACGGATTGTGTATACTGACGTCTCATATAGTTTGTCGTTATAAATTGACACTTTGTAGGCGTAGCATTAGGATGGTATTTTATCTTGTCAGACATAGTTAATAATGCCTTGAAAATCGAGTATCCGATCGTTTACGCTTGTAATACTGTTATTCCAAACGGCGAAAAAAAACCATTGAAAACGACTGTGCCCATTTGATCTAGTTGATAAAAATAAATTAATATTTAGAATACTCAAAAAATTCTTCATTATTGAAAAAATCTAAAAACAAAAATATTCAAAAAAGAATAAAATTTGATAATAAAAAAACTGAAGATTTGAAATATGTTCAATAAATTGTCAGACGTTTGAAATAAGACCAGATTTTTAAACAGTATTAAACCAAATGTCTTAATTAATGCTAAACACTGGACCAAATAATAAAAACATAATTATAATAAACTGCATTTACTTACTAGTTTTTGCAAAAGAAAACAGAGTCGATTTATGATCCTGGATCATCAAGTCAAATATATTTACTTGACATTTTTAGTAAAGTTAGCTAAAAATTGTTTCAAACGAGTTGAAAAGAAAAGATTTTCTTCCAGTCGCTCAAAGTAGTTTTCGCCTAAAAGTTTAGATTACAGACGAAAGAAATTTTGTTTTTCGAGCAGATATCGAGTTTGATGGGACATAGTTCGCCAGTAGGAACGATACTTGCCGACTCTCGTACTGCTTGCGATCAATTATGATTTCTTGGATGTATTAGAAAGCGGAAAAAAATATGAATTTCAAGAAAGTACCTAGTGTCTGGATAGAGAATGGGTTAAAAAGTAGGAGAGCATTCATTAAAATAAAAGGCAAACTCTCGAGCTAGTTTCCTATTCTCCGAGGGAAGCCTCAAGGATCAATATATACATCATTTTTGTTTACTAGTTATTACTGTAATCTTAGTAGGTCATTAAATTGTTATGTCATTTGTTAACAGACGATCTCACATCAATGTTGGCTGGAGGCATTGCATTGAAATATTCATCACAATGTCTGGAACTCGAGAGAAAACTATCGGCATTTTTTGAGGATATGAATTCTACTCTAGGTTCAGAGCTCAACGCATTAAATTACAACAAAACGCAAACATTATTCTCTGCTATAGCGATCGAATATTCAGCTATGGAACTAAATTATGGAAAGAACAATATTGAATGGGTTAAGAACTGAAGTACTTGGATTATGTATTTACATCAAAACTAGGTATTAGTACAATGATCAGCTCGTTTCATCAGCGAAAGGTTTCATATCTGCAATTCTAAGACAGACTCTCTTCAGGCCTTGTATCCTTTCTGATTTCTCATGGGTTTTCTTATTATTCATTTCGAAATAACAACAGAATCTGAAGGAGTTCGACACACGATGTTTGTGGAGAGTCATGTTTTGTATGCAATGGGGGTCAAATTTTTTATGTATGCTAAAAATGAATTATCACTCGAAAACTAATGTAAAAAAAACTGTTGGGAGCGCTACCTGCTGATCTTGTCAGATACAATAGACGGTTCTTTTATCTTCGAACTGAGTAACTTCAACGTGCTAAGAAAAAATCGGCTGCACAGAGAGAACAAGATAAATAGTATTCATCATTCTAAGAGGTTTGTCGAGTACATGTCCCTCTTCGAGAAATGTACCTCCTGATGCATAAACATCCCGTCGAATTATTCCAATATTAACTACTAGCCTGAAGAAGTCGTCACATTATATGAGTTCTTAGAAACAGTTTAGCAATGTATCATACTTTCTCTCATTCTTACACTCACATTTTATCTTTTGGCGCTCTTAGCTCGCTAACTGGCAGTTCTAAGTATACGTGAATAAACAAAAATGTTATGCAGATATAAATTACGGAAACTGTAATATTGTACTTCTTGCTCTTATTCTTACTCTTATATAAGCTGTGTGCAATTTATTCTCTCTTTTTTCTTTCTGTACAAGTTCTGCTTTTCTTCTCTCAATATATGTAATGTAGAGGACCAATAAAATGGTCGTTAGTTAATAGCAAAGAAAATAAATAAATAAATCATAATAACAAATCTGTTTACTTAGACCTATGATACATATAATCCTGTTCATTTTATTGACAATATCTAAATATCAATACAAAAGAAACTAGTAATTATCATTAATGAGTTTGATGAAAATGAATATTCTATATTGATTTTCTGCTAGCATGAGAAAGATTTGAGTTTTGATAACACAGTACATCTTTTCTAGTTTGTCATCATACTACATGAAGCTTTTATAGAATGGTAACGGATAGGGGTTAGCGTTCTGCATTAGTTTTGTTATTGATATGACGTTGGAATGCACTATCATAGAGCATTGATCTTTTCTTTTCTTATTAGAAACAGCAAAATGTCTGCTGCAAATATATATAAAAGAATTGGATAGAAAATGTTTTTCGAAAATCACAAAGATCTTAGAACAAAATGTGTCAGGAAAGTCTTCTACAACTTTTTTGAATTTAGAAAAAAATTTCATCCAATAAAACAAGTTTTGTTTTTGTGATATTGACAAAATCCCTCTCTATTACAGATATTAACTACTGGGGTTGAAGGTCATCGGGTACAAAACTTTCCTCGATATCAAGAACAACAGGCACCAAATTATTTTCCCATAGCTCTTTATCGTTGAAAAAACGAGTTGCTAAACGACGTTAACAACAAGACCTAGACTATTATATTACATTCCAAAGTATTCTTTGCAATATGAATAGCTGTCATACATTTTTGCATGTTCTAAAGAGGACAGTTTCAAATTATCGATTAGCTAGACGGTTATATGACAGATAGCAAGGATAATGATTTGTGATGTATTGTTTTGCCATAGTCGTCATTTGACAAATACAAAAAAAGCATGAATTGATCAAGTTCTAACTTTCAGAAATAATTAACAACACGTTAGGATCTATTGTGAAAAAGCAAAGAAATTTTGTTTAAAACACAAAAATAAATGAATAAAATCGTCTCGCAAACGATCTATTATGTTTGAAAAGACGATTATTTATCTGTTAGAAATTTTTTCACTAGATCTATTTTGTATTAATTAGAATAATGAAGCTCAATGAGACATAATGAGAGTTCCATATTGTAGCCCAAAAAGAGCTGCGCTGATAGACTCTTATTTTTCTTTTCTAAACTTCCTAAAGTCACAATAAAAGACTTTTACTGAACAGAATACAATTCTCCTATGTAAAATTCAGATAAACCTTTGTTTTCGTCCTATAAGTCATAAATTGGATTTTTCAATTAAACTTTTTATTGTTCAGTCTCTTGTGTACTAGATCAATTATTTTAAAATCATACAAAAGCTATCGTTGTACACATATTTCCATTGTTTTGAAACTGCAAATTCAAAAAATCAATTGAAACTTACTGTCTGAAGCTCTTGAGTTGAAATTGTATGTATCAATCTTTTGTAACTCTCTCAGGAGGATTATGTGTTACAGTGTATCAAGCCATCTTCATAGTAGAATGTCTCGAATTACATCTTAATAGTTATTGAATTTTCAATTTTTAGATGGTGAACATCACTAAAGTATTGCAGAGTATGGAAAAATTGTATAATTCTACAATATATTTCTCAGATTTAAAATTACTATGATATTCATATGAACAAAAAAAAAAAAAGAGAAATGTTACGTTCTATAAGAGAAACTCAAATAAAAATAGATAATTTTTGTATTTTCAAAATTCTATTGATTAATTTTTATATGAATAATTATTACATTGTAAACAAAAAGAATTCATAATCTATTAACTGTTTAACTTAATTTGATATTACTTCTTTAGTAATAATATTCTATGATATTCTCTTAAAATATTTATGTTTGAATAAATAATATAATTAATAAAATATCGACATTTACAGTTTAAGACTAATAGGCATAAGTATTTATCAAGTAAATATTTGTACTGATTTATAAATAATAATAAAGTCAATAATAATATTCTTTATACTAAGCACTTGAAGTTTTTCATCAAAAGTTAAATTTATTACTTGTAAAATGATAAAAAATACTTTTTTTTAATCAAATAATTGACTATCTTTTACTCAACAAAAAACTTTAATTTGTAACAATTCATCAATTTTACCATTATCTTGAAAAAAATCTTATTTGTAAATGCATTACATATTATTCGTATTTGTTTAATCAAGAATTTCCACAGCATATCATTTTTGCAACCAAATAATAATTGTCGTCAAACAATCGTGAATTCTATTAGAATAAATTTAATATACAATTTTTTTTATTATCATTATTAATAGTTCATGTAACTATTTCAATATTTTTTCTTTCCTAAATTGTCACGTTATATAATGCAACAAAAAATGTGCACTCAATGACCGTAGCTTTCTACTAAGCTTGACATGTGAGTAGAGATGTTGCACAAGAACAAAAATGAGGTTATTCAGGGCACATTACTGATGACAACCTATATATTTGCTCTGCAACGTTTACCGCAAAGATATATTACCTCCAAAAAACAATCAATAGAAATAATTCTGGAATTTATTTGGCCATTTTGCACTGCATACACTGTCATTCTATGATTTTTGCGTCGTAGTCTTTTTTTTTTGAATAGTTTTTTCTCTTTTCTC